AGGGAAAATAATGAGGTTGGTTTGCAGGTGAATATAAGGCGTGATGAACAACACAGAAGAAGGCATAAAACACCTGTTTAGCACAGGGATAATAGAAGCTGGTGTAAAGGACTGATTTGGCATCAATTTCTTGATACAGAGTATAAAATGATAGGGAAGAAGATTCCACATCATGATGGGGAAGTGAAGACCAATAAATGGTGCTTATCAGGACTGATAAAGGCAACATGGTGAAAGCCTTAGGCATGAAGGATGATTTTTGTTGTGAAAGGCACCATGAATAAAACCGGCACACCAGTGAGAAGTTGGGAATCTTATGGGCAAGTTCGCAAACTCTGAGAGTATTGGCAAGACCAGCTGATAGGAAAGTCTGTCTTATATATTGTGCAGGAAAACTAGAGATGGATCCAAGACACAAGACAGAAGATTCTTGATATCAAAGATGCCTGGATTACAGCTCATAGAACCTGTGTGTTATGATGAGCGTGAAATGTAAGAAGTCCTTGGAGAAAAATTGCCAAGGACTGTCGTACAGCCATATGGAACTTGAATTTATAGCTAGGCGTTCACAAGAGATCGTGGAAGATTGTCAACATTTCAGTTTCCTTAGCATGAGATCAGGTCTAGAAGGATAAAACTGTGTCATCTCTCTGGATGATGCCTATTGAAATTTTTGTAGGTGACATTATCCAGCTGTGGAAGGCAGTGACACAGTAAGTGAGGATAAAAGATTTTGTGGATTTATCCCTCTTTCCTGCCTCCTTGAGAAACTGCAGGAATGATTGTATCCTTTAAATAACACAGGAAATACAGTTGGAAGAGGAGAATTGGGCCAAGAATTGAGAAAGGGGAGACAACATACTAGGAGGAACAACTACAACTATCTGACAAGCATCTGTTGGGCAGAGATTTGGGTAGAGTACTGATTCTAAGGCTTTCCTACGAGGTGGTCATCTGTAAGGTGAGAAATGGGTGAGATGACAGAGTAGGAAGTTAGGCTGTGATGTTTTATATACCTTCTCTGCTACAGAAAAGGCCTGAACCGTGAAGGGATACACTAGAGGTTGGGAGAAAGTTACAAAGAAGAGAAAAAGAGATGAGAATTGATGAAAGTTGGAATAAAGCCATCGGTTTGGTAGCAGGAGCAGTAGAGGAGAGTCACAGGTAACATCCGTGACTGGGTTGAGGAGGAGGAAAGTGTAAGATCTGGGGCTTGGTATTCGTTGTGGAAGCAATATATGATTTAGAAGCACTGAGGTGAGTTGCTCATGAGTGTTGGGTTAATGCTGTTGAGTGACACTGTGTCCATATGTTAGAAGTTTTGAATGAGAGAATTGGGAGATGATTGAATAAATGCTACAGTGGTTGTGATTGCATTTTAAAGAATATGGGTTTTAACAAAATGGGCTTTTATAGTTGTTTCTAGTTAGGAATCCATTTAAAATGAAAACTCAAAGGATTTATCAGTTCTCCTGTGTCCTAATCTTTGGCTAAGAACATTTTTTTCATACAGCTGATTTACTGCAGTGGGTGGACTGTATTTCATGTGTATGTTTCACTCGTGTACTTCAGTAGCAAATTTCTAGGCTGCATCAGTGCTTCTTTCTATTTTATCACTATGAAATACCTCTGATTCTTATTCCACCCCCACCACAAATAGGGACAGCTATGGCACTGTCATGAAAATCTAATTAATATTGCAATGTATTAATAATGTTCAATATTTTGAGTCTTTCTTTGTATGTTTCAGGACATCTGTTTTGCAGCACATGTTTCAGTTCCTTTGGTGTTACTCAGACAACCTGTTAAAAATAAATCCTTACTTAACCAAGTTTTCTTGAGGAGTAGTATGGCAGTAGTTGGCTGCAGCAGCTTGCCTTCTCGTGAGATACCTTTCCCTCCAATGTCTAGCAGATGATACTGTGAGTGACACCCAGCTTCGGAGAAGACAGTACTGGTGCAGTTTGAGCTGAGGAAAGAAAGTGATGTGCTTGAGGTACATCAGATTTTGGCCTGGTCTTGCAGAGGGGGCTGTGAGTTCACGTAGTGATTGAGGCCTGAATATAGGGATAATTGACTGAAATGTATGGGATAGCTCACAACTCCAAGGCTTTTCTTTCTTTTTCAGCCTGTCTGCAGGTACAGACAGGTGACCTTGAATGCATGAAACAATTTTTCTGGGCCAGTGTTTACAGCAATAAAAAATTTAACTTGGAAACCATGTAAAACCACAAGATGTTAAGCCATTCTATTTATACTTAAATAAAAAGATAACAGGTCTTTCAGACAAATGATGACAGAGGCAGTATGCATCATCTCATGACTTCAGTAAAGCCAGGGTCTCTTGCCTTTTTCACGGTTTGGGAAACTTGGGGTTTATTTTGAAATAACTATTGTGTGTAATGAGAAAACTGTATTTAGAACACTGGCATTAATAATTCTCTGTCAAAATTGTGTTGTTTAATTTAACTCAGTTTACTTACTTATCATATATTCCTTAAACTTAACTGCAGAGAGAGGAAAAAAATTGTTTTCTACCCCCCTGTGCCTTGGAGAACTAGTAGATTTAAATAGTGGTAAGGAAAGCTCTCACTAGACTTCAAGAAACTTCTTGCAACAGGAATCCTGGATTTCTGGGGTGGATGGTTCAGGGAAGTGGTGGAATTTCCACCATGAAAGGCTTTTCAGAACAGGCTGAACAAGCACCTGTGCAGAATAATGTAGTTATAGTTGAATCTGCCTGAGGCCAAGAGACTGCATTAGATGACCTCTTAAAGTTTCTTCTTTCTTCTTAAATATGAGGTCAAATTCCAATACTAGATTCCACATCAGATATTTATTCTGGAAAAGATTCCACAGCCACTGAATAATGAGACTATGTCTGAATCTTCTATGGGAGAAAAAAATAACACTCTGAGCTGTTTACAGTAGGTGTTTACACACACTTTCATTATTATCCATGGCTGCATCTTGTAGCTTCCTCCTGGCTTCTGCTTTAGCTTTTACTGTAACTTTTTAATGCTGCTGTTGGAGAAACTGAGGGGTGCATACTGGTATGTTTACAGCCCTGGGTGACTGCTGCTTGCATTGAAGTGTAGTTACTTGAAAACTTTGGGATACAGCGCACAAATCTTACAGGCTGAGGGAGAGTAGAAACATGGACTAAAACAGCCTGGAGGACTGACAAGGAGACTGAGAGCTTGGAGCCTGGGCTTTCTTGGAATTTGTCCTGTGCCTCCTTCTGAAGTAGACAGACTGCTCAGTATCTAGCTGTTAGTAATGCAAATCTCCAGTTTGATATATGTATGTATCCCACAGATAAAAGTGTTATGAATGTTTTTAGGAATTGCCTATGCAAATTGAAACACAACTCTGTGTAAGTGGAGAGTGCTCATTTAATGAAGAGCTTTTAAATAATTAGGTTTAATCTTTGTGGTTCAATATATGATGCCACATTTTATTTACTGTAAAGATCTGAAAGAACTTTCTCTGCAGACTATAATTACTGATTTTGTCACATGCTTTAGGGACATCTATTATTACGGTATATTTGTCTTTTAAACATCATGTTATCTCTCTTCCATCCCCATGAGTTTATAGAACAGTATTGTGCCTACAGATGGGAAATTAAGGTGCAGAGGGATAAAATGGTTGAAAGCATCTGTTTAAGAAGGAGCTTAGGGTCAGGTATCTTTCAGAGGGTTTAGTGTAACGCTTTGAATACAACCTTTAGTGGTCCTCAACCAGTCTCCCTCAGGAAGAAATGAATCACTTCACTGTCATTGTATTAGGACTTTGTTTCTTGGTAGAATGTTTTTTATCCTTTCCTCTTTACAAGCCCCTCAGCTGTTAACTATACACTTTCAGGTTTTGCAGTAAATTACACAAGGGCCTACAGAACAAATCCACGGAGACTACTGTATAAGGCAGAGGCCATTAACAGGGGTGAATGTAGCAAATGAACATACTATGAGTGATCATATATCGTAATACGTATGCACCAAGGGGTGAGGTGGGTTAATGTGCACAGTTTTTGAGTGTTTAACTTTGCAGCAAGTTATACCTGCTCACATGAAGAGGAATGGGAGTATTTCTGGATATGTGTATTTGTGCACACATTTATTTAAGGTGGAGCAAAGAATTTGAACAGAAGCTTACATCGACCCAGATTAGTAGTAGCTCTTAGTGCTAGCTTTTTCCTTTAGTGATTTCATCCCACTTTTTCTTCTTTCTGTTTTCCTTGATGTTAAGTCACCTTGAATGTTGTTAGGGCGGGGAGCTATTTGCTTTGTTTTGTGGCTACTTTCCAAATGGAATATCTGGGAGCAGTTACTAGAGGAAAAGTAGTCTTTTGATGTTGAAACTTTGAGTGAAGAGAACCCACTTAGTACTGCGGTGGGAAGGTTGCATGTATGGTCTGATCAAGGCAGCAAGTCAGGGGGTGGGGCTAAGGTAGTACAGAAAGAACCAACTTTTCAGAGGCTTTTATCTTTAGCAAGTATACTAAAAAAATGCAATCCCTTGAAAAAGTGTGACTTTTTTCCTTTTTTTTTTTTTGAAGTGAGATTTACAGTTCAACCAAATATAACTGTGATTTCAGACATGTTGCGAAAATTACGTCCATCATGCAAAGGGCTGCCCACCTGTGAAGCTTCAGGTTACTTTGCCAAAGTATGCATTTATTTGCAACGCTTAAATGCTATGAATTCAAGCATGTAACATAGCCAAAACCCATTCCGTCCCTCCCAACCTTACTTTCAGACAGAGCTGAACTCTTTCAACTGAAGCTTAAAAAAAAAAGTCAATTCAATGCACTGTCAAAAAAATCAACACAAAGGACTAAAGCTTTGGCAGAGTTACAGAAAACTGGAAACTGCTTTGATGGATTGTGGTGACCAACCATAAGCATACATTTCCATTTGCAGGGGGATTATAAATCTCACCCATAATCTTATTCTTGTCCTTTTTTTAATATTCTGCTACTTTTTTTTTTCTTTCAGATGATATTAACTGTGTTTTTGAGCAACAATGAACAGATTTTGACAGAAGTTCCAATTACACCAGAAACAACCTGTCGCGATGTAGTAGAGTTCTGCAAAGAGCCTGGTGAAGGAAGCTGCCATCTGGCTGAAGTATGGCGTGGGAATGGTAAGTGAAACATTCAGTGGGAATTGATTTAAATATGTGTACCAATTATAAAAAAGGTAGGACTGATTTCTCAATATTAATGATTTCAAACTGTACTTTGTTTTTCCCTAGCAAACTTTGATGCAAAGCATGGTAATTTGATATCTGTAGAGATTAATGCAAGTCTTGACTTCTTTTTCCTTCTCTGTTTTCTTCTTCAGTGTGGAGTATTTGATAAAATGTGTGTGTAAGACACGTTAGTGTTCTGTATTTCAGTTTTTCAAATTATGTAAACAAAGTATTCAGTATCTTCATCTTAAAAGAAAAAAAATGGGGGGGTATTTTCACTTCTAGAAGCCATTTATTTCCAGTAGGCAGACGTATGTAGGGTGGAGGGTATTTGAATGACAATACGGAATCTCTGTGATCTTCTCTTACAGTAAATGGGTACAGATCACCACCTGCATTCTTTCCAATCCAGTTTCCTCACTATTAGGCATGTGAACACAACCTGAAACTTAAGAATAGATATAGTTGGGTTTTTTTTCCCTTTTTTATCATGAGTAGCAGATGTTCTGCAGACAGAATTGTGTCAGGATTGTACATAGTATCTCCAGCTACTTCATGAGCATTTCCTCTCAAAGATTTGACAACCTCCCTTGGGGCAGGTTAGTAGTGCCCGTATCCTGTTGGTGTTGCAATTGTTATTTCACAGAATAATGAGGTCGCAGTTCTTTTCAGGGTGTGTCAAAACAGCCCTATTATGGATTCTGTTTCTAGACGGATTCTTGCAATTGGGTGTCGTGCAAGCCCCCAGGTTATAGTATATCAGTGTATGGATATGAGTACAATCAGTGGATGCTGAGGATAACAGGCAGGTTCTTATCCCTCAGTTACTAAGGTCACCCCTGTTCAGGCTGTTTCATTCATCCATTTTATATAAAGACCTATGAGATCATAACTTAATCTTGAATTCTTAGATTTTGCATTGAGGAGTTTTATTTTGGTCAGGGGCTTTTTGTCAAACAGACAAAATTGGCATTATTGAGATGCCTTTGGAGATTTTAAGTATTAGTAATATAGAATATTTTCCTCCTGGAGAAACTATTCCTCCTTTTCTCTAAACTGTTGGAAGACTTTGTAGGGGGAAAAGGTGTTTCAAGATGTCGTTTCCTAACCAGATGGGAACCCACGGAGTTCAGGCAAGAATGAGCAGGGGAGAGGTGAAACAAGTCTTCAGCTGTAGGAGGAGAAATTCAGTTCATACTTAGGAAACTGTCTTTAAGGATAAAACTTACAGGAGGGTTAAAACTTTTTTCAAACTGGAAGTTTAGATTACAGAGGGTCTGCGATGCCAGTGCATCACATAAATTTCTGAAACAGATCTGCAGACTGTGTTTAAGAGCACTCAGATATCCCTAGTATATTCCAATCACTCGCCTCTGAAAGTGTTAACATACATGGTATTATTTGTTCTTCTGCTTTCACAATACTTTGAGGATATACTTCTTGAAAAATGCAGAGAATGTTGTCATTGGCTTCAAAGGGTGACTGGGAACCGTAGCCAGTGATCCACATCATCTTTCTGGGACGCTTAAAATCTCACAAACCTGGCAAGCGCAAGCATGCATTTTCTATAATAACTTCTAAGAATGAGAATATACTTTATCTGTGGATTTAATACATTATTTCTCAAAGTGTTAGACATCTAATGCTAAAAGTTTCTGTGAAGTGGGAAATAAAACTTATCCAGGAAGCTGTGATGGAGAGACTAAGTTTGGGTATCTGCCCTATGAATTATGCATCTTTGATCCCATTATAGTTGATGTCATAGAACATTTTGAACCACGTTGTGCTTTGTCAGTTTGAAGCTTCCTGTTTTTGCACGTATTTCTCATGCTTTAACAGGAGGAAAAAAAACCCACAGAATATTCTTCTTCATTCCTCAGCTATTGCTAATAGCAGTTGGTAAGGAGCTTGAAAGACAGGTGTGATACCAGGAACTTGTGGTATGTTTCAAGAGAGAATGGGTTTCAACCTTTAAATCCACCTGGTACTTAATTACTCACTTCACTTACATCTGGAATGCCCTTCAGCATTTGGTGTTAATTGATCTTCCTGAATTTAGTGGTAACATAGAGGCAAGTGACTGTGAAAAAAGTGGTTATTTACTACAAGTGTACTTCTGCAAACCTGAGGGGCCGAAGATGGGTTCCTGATGTTGCAGTGAATTTCCCCACCACCAGCACAACCCTCTTCAGACATACAGTTTCTTGCTACCTTCTTACCAAGAAGTGAGAAGGTGCCTGCTAGACTTACCTAGCAATTTTTCTATTTGGGAAAAATTCTGGAAGATTATCTTCTGTCCCCTAAAGTCTCTGAACTAAACCATTTAAATATTTTTACACTCTGTGATCTTTAAAAGACTCATGCTGCAGTTTTAGCGGTAATGCTTCTAAACACTTGAAAACTGACCTTACTTTAGGAGTTGAAAAACCTGAAATTCATGTTTTTAAAGTTCCTTTTCAAGAACTGAGTTGAAATAAGCCACTGACCTTATTCTTCTGTGCATAAACACTATTAATGCTTTTTGGAGTTCACTTGAGCGAGGAACATGGAAAAAGGAAAGAAAAGCATCTATTTCTTTAAATCCAGGTGGTGCTGGGTTTTTTGTTGTTGTTGGGGGGTGGTAGTGTTAGGGACATAGGTCAGCTGATGAATATAATTAGCTTGTGGTTTAAATGACCCTTCCCCATGGAAATGAGTTAGATCTAATGGTGGCTAAACTGTTAATCACTATGCCTATTTGACATGACAGATTTTGACAAGGCGCTTAGTTCTATTAAATGCATTGTGAATCAAGCAATGAAAATGTGTTGTTCTTTAAATACTGCCATTAAATATCCCAAGATTATGAAGACATGTATACATTTATGTAGTTCATAAGGCATATAAATCTAGGTAATTTTCATTATAAAAGGTGTATTTGTGATGTGGTTTTCCCAAGCTTTCCCCAAGATATCTGTTACATGTTTAAACCATTTTGTCTTCTCATGTCAAATGGGTTACGTATGAAGTGGATAACAAATTGTTAGCTGCTCTGCATTGTAGGAGATACTGTTGTTTGGGGTTTGGAGGCAGAGAGCATTTTGCTTTTGAAAATAAAGAATGCAAACTCCACTTTTCAGTTTGCATCCAAGCCTGATTTTCTGTAGTAATATTGGTTTGACATGGTAGTGCATGAAGGAAACCTAATTAACTCTCTTCTAGTATAATTTTATTCTGATTGGAAGATATCTTCTAATACTAATAATTGGATCTTAAAAGATCTTAACAAGGAGATTTTCTTACGTTAATGAAAATATTGAAAAATACATACAAGTATAATTATGGAAACAGTGAAAACTGCTTTTGGAATGTATTTTCTTTTTAAATTACTAAATATATAGTGTGCAGCCTCTTAGTAGTAATTGGTTTGGAAGAAATTACTACACTAAGAGAATGTTTTACATTTGTTTGGGAAAAACAAAGAGGCTGCATAGAACTTAGCCTTTGTTCGTTCAAAGAATTGCCAGTAATTCCACATATACTGGAAGTTCAGTCTGGCATAGTGTATTGGAGTGGGACAACCGCCGAAGTTCGTAGGAGATGAAATGTCAATATAATGAAAAGGCTTTTAGTCTGAGTGGAACCCTGGAGGTTCAGGTTGAATGAATTATTTTAATAACAGAACAAAATACCCATCTGGTGTGGGGGGGAGGGGGCAAAGGTGCAAAGACCAGCATTGGGAAAAGGTTGTGATGAAGAATCCTAAATTAAGGTTTCTAAGTGCTGGTATTTTTGGTGTGGTTTTGCAAACCAGTTATGAGCCGCTGTTCAGTGGTGAGCTATGCTATAGTAGCAGGCTAGCTTTTAGGACACTGCAACTATTGTCTGTTGGGGCCTGTTTCTTTAACTTTGCATAAAATATATTGGCTAGATTGAATTGCTACCAAAAAAAGACATTCTGATTCTTAATGAGAGTTTTGTAAAACTTTGCTTAATTTAAAATAGTGGTAATAAATTATTTTTTTTCTTGTACTTTCAGAGCGTCCCATACCCTTTGATCACATGATGTATGACCACCTACAGAAATGGGGTCCCCGCAGGGAAGAGGTGAAATTTTTTCTTCGGCATGAGGAGTCACCAACCGAAAGTAATGAACAGAGTAAGTACACTTATCCTGTAGTCTTGTTACCTAAACATGTTTAAAACATTTCTGAAGCCAGTTGGGTTATCAGTTCTTTCAGTGAACTTCAGTAGATACATGCAATACAACTTATACCAAAGCCATTTTGAACCTTCCTCAGAGGCACATGAATGTCCTCAAATTCCTTTCTCTAGAATAATTTCTACCAGTCTCTTGAGTAATATTTTTGTGGTAAGATCAGTTTCTGTTCTGCTTAATATTGATCCAAATATGTTGGTAGGTATGAGAGGCTTAATGCATTTTTTTTCTTGCTGAGAGAAAATCCCTACATTTTGAGAGGGTGAGATTGTTCTTTTTGACCTTCTGTTTTCTTTCAGTTACCCCAGAGAAAAGACTCAGTAAAACTACTTTATCTCTTGTAGAAACTAAAATCTAGTTTACAGACATCATTGGCAGAGGTGTCAGTGGCTGTACTTTCTCAGTTCTTCATGTAGGTATGTTTAATAGTGGTGATAATTTGCACACTGAAAAATGACTGGTCTGCTTGGTTCTACAGGAAGAAAAAAAAATATTAAGTGGGGCTCTCTTAAAAGACCAGAACAAAAAAAGAAGAATTTCAGTTTTCTGATCTAGCCAGTATAGACTGTACTTAATTTGAGAAGACTTTTGAGCCTGTGCACTACATACTTAATGGCTGTCAGACTCTCTGGAGGATAGGAAAGGTGTCTCAAAGTCAGATGTATATTTGCATGCGCAGATTATCCTTACTCATTCAACTAATCTGACTGCTTCTGACAACCAAGTTTCAAGTCTTGGCTGAGTCCTTACTGCTTTGAGCTGGGATTTCTTTTCGTGTTTCTAAGTGGTTCATGGTTGCTTTGAATGCCAGTAGTAGCAGACCAAATAATGTATGAAGGGTTTTTGTATTAGTCAGATACTTTAAATTTGTATTGCCCAAAAGATGAGTATTTTACAGAGTATGTCAAGAAATTTAAGGTACACCTGAAGCCATGGAGTTTCATTTACAAGGAAAATGTCACTTCTGAACCATGCATGCAAGGCTTTTTAATTAATCATTAACCTATTAATCGATCTGTAGATTAAATTTGTTTATAAGGCATCAGAAAAGCTTCCTCTACTATATTCATTTGTCATGTATTCAACCGAAACTACTGCTTCTTGTGGACACAGAAACACGAAACTTCAGTGGTCACACTCAGTACATTCCCTTTCGTGACATCATTGCCTAAACACAAGACAGAAAAGTAGAGCTGCATGCCTGTACTTCTAACAGATGTAGTCTGTGAAGTGAATACTTTATTACTCCTGACTCCACTGCATACAAAGAATAACCTAATGAGTTGGAAGTAGCAGAATAAAAATTCACAGGTAACAGATTTATATAGAGTTCATGAAAAGAACAGATTCAAGGGTGAAAATCATTTCTGTTGAAAGCTGAACTTTGCACTAAGAGTGACACTTTACTTTCAGGTGGACGTCAAGCACAAAATCAAAGAAATGGCATAAATATACCTGTGGAGAAACGTACAGAGAATGGGGTATGTAATAAATCCTCAAGGTTTTGGATCATATTCCACTGAAATATTTGGTATTTTTAAAAGTTTTGTTTTTCAAGACCTATTACAGTGGGAGTTGTTGGAAAATGTATAGATCTTGTTTGGTTTGGATTTTTTGTTTGTTTCTTTGATATAAAATTGAATGGCAGAATATGTTGGTTTTTTTTTTTCCAGACTACTGTAAATTTTCTGTCTAGAAAGAAATTTACCTTTGTGATGTGAGAAGCCCCAGGACTCTTATTAATTACTGCATTTTCTAATTAGTCTTCCTCTGTCTTATTCATCCTATGTGGAAAAACAAAACAAAACAAAAACCCAGCTATGTTATTCTTTCATGCAAGTATTGTCTGTCCAGACATCTTTTCTTGTTTGATTTGACTTACTGCTATTGATTCATGACATAGCCTGGTATGTTAAAACATGAGAATGTATCTGTGGATTGGGATGCTTTCAGTTGATGGTAGAAAAGGTTGCATGCACCTCAGAGACACCTCTTCGTACGTTTTTTATGCACTTAGTCCATTTCTATGTCTGGTTTTTTCGTTTTGGTTTTTTTTTTTTTCTTTAATAAAATATTACTATGTTTGATAGGACAAGTGGTAATGGGCTTACATTGAAAGCAGGAAGATTTAGATTAGACATCAGGAAGAAGTTCTTCCGAGAGAGGGTGGTGAGGCACTGGAACAGGTTGCCCAGAGAAGCTGTGGATGCCCCATCCCTGGAAGTGTTCAAGGCCAGGCTGGATGAGGCTTTGAGCAACCTGGTCTAGTGGAAGGTGTCCCTGCCCATGGCAGGGGGGGTGGAACTAGATGGTCTTTAAGGGCCCTTCCAACCCAAACCATTCTGTGATTCTATGAGAAGTTTCTAATTTAAAATACATATTACAGAAAATGGTGGTGGCATTCAGTGAACCTTGACTTGAACATTTTCTTTTTTACAAGTGAAAAGTAGTACATCTTTTTCAAAATTACCATGACTTAAAAACCTTCTACTCCTGAGCTGAACCTCACTTTACTTTCTTCTCTCTCTTTTCATCCTCAATACTAACGAGGGCTCTGCAGAGCATATTCAGCTCTTTGCTCAGGGCCATTCTGCTGCCTTCACTGAGGCACTATAGCTATAACTGACTATTTTAAACAATTTTAAATTTCAATAAAAATACTTGAGCTCACCAATTCATGGTTGTATTGTCTCTTAGGAAGCCTGAGAGTTTCTACATATGCATAGGGCTCTTCTTGGGTAAAATATTGCTTAAAAAGTTTAAAAGCAAACAAATTGGGTTTTCAAACTGAGATGTCTTAAAGAAATACAGAACTAAAATGTTAATAATTGTGCAAATTAAACAATTCTGTGTTTGTATATTGCTTTATAATTGGCATTTAAAATTCACTTGCACACACACACACACACTTAAATATGCAGCAACAAAGTTGTCCAGTCAGTTTGCAGCTCTTCACAGCTTGCTTTGTGAATGGCATGTCGGCTCAGTGGAAGGAATGTTTTTCCCTATTCAAAACAGTTAATCGTGTATTGCTTTCTGCGTTCCTTTTTCTGTAGAGAACACTAGCCGATATCCTCTGCTGCACGGCTCTGTTTATCCTGCTTCCATTGTCATATTGACAATGTAGTGAGATCATAGTGCTGTAATGTGCTAGGGGAATGTAACTCTTTCATGACCTCTTCTCATCTATTCCTCCATGTACATAAGTAGCACATAAACTAATTTTGAGACATAGTATCCTTGGAAATTAGGACTGGCATGTGCAGTATACATTACAATCTCACTTCTTGGCAACACTCAGGTTTGTGATAGCATGGCTTTGTATTTCATTCAGTTTGCTGTTAATTTTTATGGGTAAAGCTCAGATACGTTAACTTTATTAACACTGCTACCTGTGTGCCATTCAGTATATTTTTTTTTTTTTAAAAAAAACAATAGCTTGGCCACAAAATCAAAATTTATTAGGGAACTGATCACTTTAAGATGGGCTTTTACCAGGTTTAGGAAGTTACTAAAACACAAAAAAGACTAAAACCTGAAGGGGTTGTAGTACTGTAATTATGGTGGGTTTTATGCCAGAAATGGTACAAATTAGGTTTTGAAAGTGTATTAAATGAAGATATTATTGTTTTTTCAGTTGTACCAAGTTTTAAATCAGAGGGGGAGGGGGAAAAAGAGGTGGCTTCAGGATCAAGGGTTTAATCAGCTTACACTTACGTAATGCATTAGGCTTAATCATTGTTAGTGGCATACCGAACGTTAGACTAGCCCTAAAATTAATACAAACCAATGGAACACTGAAGACCACTCAAGTCTTACCAAATCTGCTGCATTCAGGTATATTTTTATTATGTGCACTGCTTTAATGATGAAATAATAGATTTTTTTACTTAATCTCTGGGTAGAGCTGAAAGTGTGACATGCATAGAAAACTTTAAGATGAATGTTTGCTTGTATGTTTGAATCAGTGTTCTTGGAAAAATAATGGGCAGTCTCTCTGGAGTTCAATTTGAGTAATTCCATTAATTGGTATTTTGTCATCAGCAGTAGGATTTTTTTTTTTTTGTCTTTGAAACTGTATGTTCTTGATCAGCAGTTGTTTAAATAATGGTTAGCTTAAAATCACATTATATAAATGCTTAAGTTTCATTAGATTATCTTCCAAATAAAGATTTAATGTTAAAAATAGGATAGGCTAGGTCTCTTCAACCAGTGAAACGAGCATTGTTGTGAGAAGAGAGCTTACCTGAGAGCCTTGAGTTCTTCATACAAAGTCTAAAGGAAAAACTGTGTGAGATTTTGTAAACTGGCTATTTCTCTTAGTCTGATGTGACCTTTCAGTGAAGTTTTGTTAACTTCCATGAAGGAAAGTTGTTATGCTGTAACTGGGACCTGGTCTCTTTCCACCTCTGCGTTCAGGTAAGTGGAAATAAGACTTACGTAACTCCTCCATACTGCCCTTTGCCAGGGAGATGGGACACACTGTTGAGACCCTTCTCTGAGAATAGCTGCCTCTTCATCCTCTTCCTTTTTTTTTACCTGTGTAACTGAGCCACTTTGGTTTAAACGCAAATTGTAACAAGGGAAATGCTCATTAAATATTGGCAAAAATGATTTCTCCATGAGAGTAACAGACAGTGGGACAGACTGCCCGGAGTCTGTGCAATTTCTAGCTAGCTGAGTAAAGCTCTGACCAATCTGAACTGCTCCGAGCAAGGGATGTTGAACCGGGTGACTTCCAGAGGCTCCTTTCTACCTAAATTATTCTTCGATTCTGTGATCAGTGACCATGAAACAGCGGTCATACAATGCTGGGTCTGTTTGCTTCCGGCTGTTTCAGCATGATCCAAGCTTCGTTCTGTAGAAGCAGCAGCGGTCTGAGCACAGTGGTACAGAGCAAATACAGCCGTAACCACTGGGGGTCAGTGGTAGGCAGCAGAGGGACTGGGAGCCGCCCGTCGTGGAGCAGCTACCAGTCATCAACGGGAAAAGTGGGTCAGAGAGGTACCTCAAGGAAGACCTTGAGAAGAAAGACAGACCTTGAGAAGGAAGACAGAGGACTGACCGGGTGAGAGTTGTCCAAATGAAAACGTAATCAGATAGCAAGAAACTTCTTGGACATGAGAAAACAAGAAAGCAGATGCAGCTGAGGAGGAAAAAAGGATGGGCTACAGGAACGTGATGGGAGTAAAATGTATTGGACTGAATAGAAGTAGAATAGTGTAACGAAGACAGTACTCGTTTGCTGTAGTTGCTTGGTGGTTCTACTTGGTAATTTACTTAGGGAGAATAAAATTTCAGTTTTTGGTCTCCTGAGAGACCTTTCTCTCTTTAACTTACTTTTGCTTTTTCTAGTATGAAATTTGCTCCCCCAGTTTAGAGAGACAAATATCAATAAGCTATTTTCTTGATGTTGACTGACACCATTGCTAAGAAATACAAAGTGGAATCTGATTTTATCTCTCATATTGGAACTCGTGTTAGCTTTAGTGTAAGAGGGACTCCTGTAGAGGAGGAAAACTTCACCATCATCCCAAACTGGAGAATCACACTCCTATAAATTTTCTTAGTCTTGAAGCTGCAACCAGTAGATAAGTTGAGCATTAAAATTTTGTGCTGATTAGACAACAGAACTGACCTTCACTATTACTGTTACAGTGGCTCAATTCAGGCCTTTAGTAAACATTTTACAGCAAGTAGTCCAACTGTTTCAGCTTCAGGAGACTCATACTTTCATTCTGGGGGATTCCTTGGGGAAGTTCCATTAACAGATAGGTTAAAACTTCTACATGTAAGTACATGCAAAGCAGGTTTTAATAGTACTGATTTAACATAGGAGAGCATGTAGTTGCTGACAGAGAGTGGATAGCCATCTGATGCAGTCAGTCTTTATAATGCATTCCATAGTGGCAGTGGTAAAGCTACACTACTTTTGAGTTCCTGTGTATGGCTTGTCAAATTTCAGACTTCAGAAAGATTTACAGGTGGTGCCAAAATCCTTGAGTAGAATTGTATGTTGTTCATTAGTGTTAATCATTTGGTCCATACAAGTGCAATTAGATAAAAAGGCATTAAACATCTAATATACGTTTTGTCATATATTTGTTATGATATGACAATTAAAACAAGTTAAATTTTTAACAGAAGTAGTAACCTTAGGAGAAGAGAAACAAATTATATGTACTTGCTTGAAATTTCTCTTTTGAAAGTTGAAGGATAAAGAGCTTAGAATGGAACAGGAGTTCTTCTTCAAGCCTAAGCTGCAAATTTAATTTAATATAAGCTTGTATTAAGTACTTTCTGTTTGGAACATTTAACAACGTACTTGGATGAGACTGCCATTCATATAAGACTTGTTTAAAATGAACAAGTAACTATGTCAGTCTTGGAAATCTAGATTCTTTCAGGGGTCTCATAGCAGAGTCTAGACAAATAATTCCATTAAAGGCTGACATAAAGAAATTGAAGCAAAAGGAATTCT